CAAAGGAACAAAACAAACAGCAAAATAACACCTGTGTCTGAATGATGGCAGCACCACTACCCACAGCAGCCAAAAGATGGCAACAGCCCAAACACAGATAAACAGGTCAGGCCATACACAGGGAATGTGCCAAAGAGGCTCCAAGTGCCGGTGCATAGTACAAGACGAATACACATCAAACACATGCCAGGCAAAAAGGCAGACACAAGATGTACAACGTTGTACCAAACACTGTATAAGTCATACACTATAAACACTAAGAACAATTAAATCTATAGGGCCACAAAGCAAAGTGGCTGGGGGGAGGGGAGGAAGCCTTCCCCCTTTGTGCCTAAGAGGCCCGGGACTTCTTTTGAAGTGCCGAGCATGGTTGGCATACAGACAGAGGGGCTGACTGCACAGCGCTGCCAATGTCATAAATGCGAAAGGATCACGGTAACGGAAATGTTACCTTGGTGTGGGTAACCCTACAGAACTGATCACCCCTTGACTCTCTCCTGTTTTGGATGTGAGCCTAGCCTTTAAGGGCCAGGCCATCTCTCCAGCCCAGCACACCTCGACTCTCTGAAGGGAACAGATCAAAAAGAGATGGAGCAGTTCAGGTCATTGAAACAGGAAAACTGAAATGAGCTGAACAACTGGGGAAGGATAAACGGGGGTGGGGGAGGAGGAGGAGGGGGAGAGGGGAAAAAGGAAGGAAAAGGGGAGGAAGGGGGGAAGGGGAAGAGGGGGAGGGGGGAAGGGGAAGAGGGGGAGGGGGGAAGGGGAAGAGGGGGAGGAGAGGGTAGTGGGAGGGGGAGGAGGAGTAGGGGAGAGGAAGGGGGAGGAGGGGGGAAGGAGGAGGGGGGAAAGGGGAAGTGGTAGAGGGGGAGAGGAGGGGGAAGGGGGAGGATGGAGAAGAGGAGTAGGGGAGAGGAAGGGGGAGGAGGAGGAGGAGGGAGAGAAGGAGGGGGAGAAGGAGAAGGAGGACGACAGTCCACTTTACAGCTCAGAAGGCTGTGGGCACTGGAGAAGCAGAGCAGTAAATGTTATTTCCAAGTGCTTATTCCCTTGGTGCAAGTATCCTAGAATGTTCTAAAATAGGTAAATGGCCTCCCAAGGAGCACCACAGCAAGCCATCCCAGACTGCCTCTTCCAGGCCAGTGGCAGGGTCTGGAGGAGAGCTGGGGCTGGCCAGAGCCCCGAGTGCTGGGAAACCTTCCGAGGGCTGGGAGGGCCATAAACAAATCTGCCACCGACTCCCTTGCACAGGGTGCCTGTCTAGGGCAGACACATTTCAGTGTGACGACTTTCCTTTGTTCTGGTCTCCTTTGGGATTAGTTTTGCCAGCGGGCTCGCAGCAATCGCATTTCAGATGCTGCATGCAGGCCTTTTAAACTAAGAAGGACAAACTAAGTTCTCCTGAAAGACATTTCTCCTGGTTCACAAGTCAGTTCCTTACATATTTAACAGGAAAATCATTTTTACAAATCTGTCACAAGGCACAACATGCACGAGCCTTGGGGACATCATGTCAAGTGAAAAAGACTGTCTGATATAATAGGCACCTCATGGTTCCACACATGTGAGGTACTGGGAGCACTCAGACTCCTGGAGGCATAAGCAGCCAGGGGTGGGGACAGGAAATGGGGGATTTTATGGTTTAGGGGTGCAGCGTTTCAGTCCCGAAAACAAATGAATTAGTTCTAGAAGCACGTGGCACAGCTTTGGGATTGTGCTTTCTAATACTGAGCTGTGACTATAAAATTGTTAAAACAGCCTCAACAGTGGTGGCGTAGGCATACCTTTAATCTCAGCACTCGGGGGGAGGCAGAGGCAGGAGGATTTCTGTACACTTAAGACTGGCCTGGTCTACAGAGTGAGTTCCAGGACAGCCAGGGCTACACAGAAAAACCCTGTTTTTGCTGGGGAGGGGGGCGGGTAGGGGTGGTGAGAAAAAAAGCCATTGAAGACAAAACTCATTCCAAATTTTTTGTTAAAACAGCAAAATGTGTGTTTGTTTTTAATCATCATTTACAATAAGCCTCTCAATTATTGCTAAGTTATGAACTTAAAGTATATTGTTGCAATTAAAAAAACATATGAAGTTTATGTGCTTGGGAGTTTTGCCAGCATATATGCATGTGAACCATGTAGGTACCTGGTGCCCATGCAGCTAAGAAGAGGGCATCATATCCCCTGGCACTGGACTTCCAGTTGGTTGTGAGCCACCATGTCGGCACAAAGAACTAAACCCCGCTCTTCTGCAAGGCCACACATTTTCTTAAGCACTAAGCCATCGCTTGAGCTATTTTATTTTTCAATTCTATTTATGTGAGAGGGACACATGCATGTGTGTCCCCTCAGAGGCCAGAAAAGTGTCTGTCAGAATTTCTGGAGCTGGAGGTGACTGAAGTGGGGGCTGGAAAGCAAACTCCAGCCCTTGAAAGGGCGGCAAGTACTCTTAATTGTGGAGCCATTTGTCCAGCCCCTTATGACTGCACTTTGAATGTTTATCTAAATGACAATCTGGAATTACTAAAGATAACAAATTTCAGATGTGAATTCACACTGGGACACTACAATAAACACTCCTTTATCAAACACAAGGAGCAAAATAAGCAAAACAGTCCTAGGTTTTAAAATTCCTTCTCTGTTTCTACGCAAAACTTTGGGCATTGAGCTTTTTACTTTTGCATTTTAAGCAGTCACATACTGACACATTCCAAACACCAACAAAAAAATAAAAACTAGGAATGATTTAGCTCAATACTGGTACATTTTACAGAGAAGTAAGAGTCAGGACCTTGGGGGGTTTGGTTGCCCTCCCGTTCCTCTATCACTGGGTTCGCTAGATGCATTCCCACGTGCATAGGACCGAATGTCTGCTCTGGACACAGTCACTATGCGTGGTATGATTCGCACATGCACATTCTGGGTCTGCCCCTGCCTCTGCCCCTGCCGGACCATGATAGCAGAGACCTGGAAGCCCTGGGCCCGAACATTCTGCCTGTGGCTCTGTGGGGTGGAGCTCACCCGAAACACCACAGACCTCTGGGTCTGTTGAACCACTCTGGGCCCCTCACTGTTAAGGCGACTAGTTTGCTGATCTGGCAAGGACACCTGCTGAGGATTAGACCCTTGGGAGGAAGCTGCTGGCCCTGGCTGTGGCTGCTGGGGGACAGGGGCGCTGGGTGGTTGCAGCTGTTTTGGAATCAATACATATGTCTGCTGTGGAAATTGCAGTGGTCTCTGGGATGACATCTGAGAGTCTGTGTGCATAATGAGAGAGCCAGGGGGAGTCCTTACACTTATGGGATTTGCTGTATTATTTATAATGAGTCGCACAGGTGGCCTCACGGTGCGCTGTGCTGGCCTAGGTTCTCTGGCTGGAATGTGGCTATTATGACTGGTTCCCTCAGCAGCTGGGGCGCTAGTGAGGCGGACTGGGACCTGGGTTGAATTACCCACCATAGTAGACCTTACCAAACGGATCACGCGAACACGAGTGGTCCAAGTGGGGGGCTGGATCTTGGGGTTGTTTTCTGATGACCTAGCACTGGGTTGGCCAGCTGGAGGAACTCTGCTCATTCCCACAGTGGTCCGCTGAACCACCCTGACTGCTTGAGGAGCAGGAGGCGGGTCTCGCCTGGCCTCTGGTGTGACGGACCTGAGAGATGAGGGGCCCTGTCTCGAGATGGGGGCCAGTGACACCAGTAGAGGAATTTTGCTTTCCTTCTTTAAGGCTGACAATGACACTAGACTGGCTGTGGGCTTCTTCCCTGGGGTGGGCTGAGGAGGCCAGACTGAGCTACTAGGCCGCTTCTTCCCTGGGGTGGTCTGAGGAGGCCAGACTGAGCTACTAGGCCGCTTCTTCCCTGGGGTGGTCTGAGGAGGACAGACTGAGCTACTAGGCCACTTCTTCCCTGGGGTGGTCTGAGGAGGCCAGACTGAGCTACTAGGCCGCTTCTTCCCTGGGGTGGTCTGAGGAGGACAGACTGAGCTACTAGGCCACTTCTTCTCTGGGGTGGTCTGAGGAGGACAGACTGAGCTACTAGGCCGCTTCTTCTCTGGGGTGGTCTGAGGAGGACAGACTGAGCTACTAGGCCACTTCTTCTCTGGGGTGGTCTGAGGAGGACAGACTGAGCTACTAGGCCGCTTCTTCCTTGGGGTGGGCTGAGGAGGACAGACTGAGCTACTAGGCCACTTCTTCTCTGGGGTGGTCTGAGGAGGACAGACTGAGCTACTAGGCCACTTCTTCCCTGGGGTGGGCTGAGGAGGCCAGACTGAACTACTAGGCCACTTCTTCTCTGGGGTGGTCTGAGGAGGACAGACTGAGCTACTAGACCACTTCTTCCCTGGGGTGGGCTGAGGACAGACTGAGCTACAAGACCACTTCTTCCCTGGGGTGGGCTGAGGACAGACTGAGCTACTAGGCCACTTCTTCCCTGGGGTGGGCTGAGGAGGCCAGACTGAGCTACTAGGCCACTTCTTCTCTGGGGTGGGCTGAGGACAGACTGAGCTACTAGGCTGCTTCTTCTCTGGGGTGGGCTGAGGAGGCCAGACTGAGCTACTAGGCCACTTCTTCTCTGGGGTGGGCTGAGGAGGACAGACTGAGCTACTAGGCCACTTCTTCCCTGGGGTGGGCTGAGGACAGACTGAGCTACTAGGCCACTTCTTCTCTGGGGTGGTCTGAGGAGGCCAGACTGAGCTACTAGGCCACTTCTTCCCTGGGGTGGGCTGAGGAGGCCAGACTGAGCTACTAGGCCACTTCTTCCCTGGGGTGGGCTGAGGACAGACTGAGCTACTAGGCCGCTTCTTCTCTGGGGTGGGCTGAGGACAGACTGAGCTACAAGACCACTTCTTCCCTGGGGTGGGCTGAGGAGGACAGACTGAGCTACTGGACCCCTGTGTCATCTTGCTGGGACAACTAGCTTGGCTCTGGACAGCCTCCTGGCACATAGGCACTGTCTTCCTTGGCTCAGTGTTTATCCCTGTCAGGAAATCATCTGAATAATCACCCAGGGCAACAGGAGGGAGAGACATGGCGTTAGCACTGCTGCCCTCTGGAAGTGGCTCTATTTCCTCATTGAGAAGCGTATTAAGGCACTCCATGATATCTTCATTCCTATCCCATAGCTGACTGTCATCCTCACAATCAAACATACAATCATATTTTACCTCAGGAATTGCTGAGATGGTTGGTTCAGTCTCATCAAAGGGCAGAGATAGCAACTCTTTAACAAAGCTCTCCAAGTCCATCTCTGAAGGCACAGTCAGTTCACAGGGACTCTGGTTGCATGTTTCTGTTCCATCAATCTGCAGGTCAGATGGGTTATCTGGACTTATTTTTGCCTGCTTTTTGCAAGGAGTGGTTGTCATTAAGTCAGGGGGACAAGAACACCCAGATGGTACCTCCTCTTGATCCAGAGAGGGGCATGCATGCCTCTTGAAGCATTGCCGCATGGGGTTAGTGTTCATCTTCTGCTCATTAAACAGCAATTTGTTGGCCGTGCAGGTGACAGCAACAGAAGGATCCAGACACAGTGGCTCTGCTGTAGCTAAGATCAGTTGGCTCTCAAGCTCCTGTTTTGCTTCCTGGGTCCACTGACTGCTGTCACTTGTCATGGACTCGACATCGCTTACTAGAGACTGCATCGTTGGACGTAAGAGAATATGCCGGACTTGGCAAGCAGGAGAGGACACAGCAGCCTCTGCAGCAGGCTCCTCGGGAGGGTAGATGTCACCACACTGCCTGTAGTCTCGGATTTCTGCTATGACACAGCCACTGTGAAAAACATTCACAGGAGACTTTTCCAGAATATCAATCAGAAAGGAAGGTAACTCTTCAGCATCCAAATATTCAAGCAGTTTCTGTCCTACATACGGCCCTGGATAGGGCTCTATAAGGACTCCATCTTTATCCTTGAGCATGAGAGAATAGTCCTGGTTTTCTGGGTACAGGCTGACCACTAAACATGGCAATGGCTCTCTCTTCATAAGCTTCTCTAGCAAGTTGACATTGCTTCGAAGGCCCTCTGCTTCTGGCTCCTTTTCACACTCCTCCACATAAATGTCATACAGTTTTTCCTGAAGAGATTTTTCCCCACAAGACGTGGGTTTCAGTGGAGGGGGTTGCTGCTGAACAGTCTCATCGCCCCCCTCCAAAGTGTCCTGTAAAGTTTGTTCCATCCTAATAGAAAATCGGGGCCCTTAAAGAAAAACAAAAAGTATTGGTGAACAGGTAGAAATCATGGCAGTTCTATCAACGGTGAGGCAAAACTTTACAACTCTGTGTAGGAGTGTACACTTTGAATTTAATACGGACCCCAAGAAACCTGCCTCCCGTTGGTGTGATGCAGATGCTGCCAATTCCTGTACTGTATTCTGGGGGATTAGATTCTGGGGGATTAGGCATGGGCAAACCAGTCTGGGCTGCACCAAGAGACCCTGACTTAACTGCGAAGACAAGCCAAAGGAACCAAGAGCTACATTTAAATTTGCAAGTTTTTTTTTTCAGGACAGGGTTTCTTTGTGTAACAACTCTAACTATCCTGGAACTAGCTCTTGTAGACCAGGTAGACCAGGCTGGCCTTGAACTCAACAGAGAATCGCCTACTTCTGCCTTCTGAGTGCTGGGGTTAAAGGGCGCCACCTCCACCCGGAAAAATTCCCCAAGTTTTTATTATGTACACAACTTTCTGCCTCCATTTATACCCACACGCCAGAGGAGGGTGCCAGATCTCTTTACAGATGGTTTGGAGCCACCATGTGGTTGCTGGGAATTGAACTCAGGACCTCTGGAAGAGCAGACAGTGCTCTTAACCACTGAGCCATCTCTCCAGCCCTTCCCCAAGTTTTTAAAAAAGCATTCGTACCTTTGGCACCCACTGTCAGTGTGTCGTCCTGGTGCGCTGTGGTGGAAAAGCTGTCCTGGACCAGGCTGTCCTCGAACTAACAGATTCGCCTACTTCTGCCTCCCGAGTGCTGGGGATAAAGGGCACCACCACTGCCTGGAAAAATTTTGCAAGTTTTTAAAAGCATCCATACCTTTGGCGCTCACTGCCAGTGTGTCAGCCTGGTGCGCTCTGTGCTGGTAAAGGTATCCTGGACTAGGCTGGCCTCGAACTAACAGAGAATCTCCTACTTCTGCCTCCCGAGTGCTGGGGTTAAAGGGCGCCCCCACCACCCGGAAAAATTCTCCAAGTTTTTAAAAAGCATCCATACCTTTGGCACTCACTGTCGGTGTGTCGTCCTGGTGCGCTGTGGTGGAAAAGCTGTCCTGGACCAGGCTGTCCTCGAACTAACAGATTCGCCTGCCTCTGCCTCCCAAGTGCTGGGTTTCAAGGGCGCCACCACCGCCTGGAAAAATTTTGTAAGTTTTTAAAAAGCATCCATATCTTTGGCACTCACTGCCAGTGTGTCATCCTGGTGCGCTCTGTGCTGGTAAAGGTATCCTGGACTAGGCTGGCCTCGAACTAACAGAGAATCTCCTACTTCTGCCTCCCGAGTGCTGGGGTTAAAGGGCGCCCCCACCACCCGAAAAAATTCTTCAAGTTTTTAAAAAGCATCCATACCTTTGGTGCTCACTGTCGGTGTGTTGTCCTGGTGCGCTGTGGTGGAAAAGCTGTCCTGGACCAGGCTGTCCTCGAACTAACAGATTCGCCTACTTCTGCCTCCCGAGTGCTGGGGATAAAGGGCACCACCACCGCCTGGAAAAATTTTGCAAGTTTTTAAAAGCATCCATACCTTTGGCGCTCACCGTCGGTGTGTCGGCCTGGTGCGCTCTGTACTGGAAAAAGAACAGGCTGGCCTCGAACTCACAGAGATTCGCCTACTTCTGCCTCCCAAGTGCTGAGGTTAAAGGCGGGAGCCACCACCGCCAGGAAAAATTGTCCTAGTGTTTACAAAAGCGTCTGTACTTTTGGCGCTCGCTGCCGGTGTGTCGGCCTGGGGCGCTCTGTGGTGGAAAAGCTGCCCTGGAGCAGGCTGGCCTCGGACTCACAGAGATTCGCCTGCCTCTGCCTCCCGAGGGCTGGGGTTAAAGGCGGGCAGGCGCCACCACCATCGGGAAATATGGCGCTCGCTGCCGTTGTGTCGGCCTGGGGCGCTCTGTGGTGGAAAAGCTGCGGGACTCACAGAGATTCGCCTGCCTCTGCCTCCCGAGGGCTGGGGTTAAAGGGCGCCACCTCAGCCCGGCAAATTTTGCAAGTTTTTAAAAGCATCCACACGTTTGGTGCTCGCTGCCGGTGTGTCGGCCTGGGGCGCTCTGTGGTGGAAAAGCTGCCCTGGAGCAGGCTGGCCTCGGACTCACAGAGATTCGCCTGCCTCTGCCTCCCGAGGGCTGGGGTTAAAGGGCGCCACCTCAGCCCGGCAAATTTTGCAAGTTTTTAAAAGCATCCATACCTTTGGCGCTCTTCGTCGCTCACTGCAGGTGGGTCGGCCTGGTGCGCTCTGTGCTGCAAAATGGACGTGCAGGGCTGACGGGGCTGACGAGCGGCAAGCTTGCCGCGTCGTCTTCCTCCGTCGCCGTGCACGCTGAGGTGGGTCGGCCTGGTGCGCTCTGTGCTGCAAAATGGACGTGAAGGGCTGATGGGGCTGACGAGCGGCAAGCTTGCCGCGTCGTCTTCCCCTGTCGCCTTCTGCACGCTGAATGCCGCGCTCGGGCTCGCCCTCCTTATATAGCCTCGTGGGTAGGCGTGTCCCTTTTCAAACTTCCTTTCCAGCGCCCGCCCTGTTTCCGCAGGAGAGGCGGGAAGGTTTTGGGGGCTTGAGCGCGCGTAGCAAATTTTTTTGTTACAGTTTCGATATCCACCATTTCACACCCGAACAACTTGCAGAGTCATCGTGCACCATTTTATTTGTCTGGGTGGGCCCTTTAAGAACCAATCTGTGAGCCGGGCGGTGGTGGCGCACGCCTTTAATCCCAGCACTCGGGAGGCAGGCGGATCTCTGTGAGTTCGAGGCCATCCTGGTCTACAAGAGCTAGTTCCAGGACAGGCTCCAAAGCCACAGAGAAACCCTGTCTCGAAAAACCAAAAAAAAAAAAAAAAGAACCAATCTGTGGGAGGAAGAGGTAGACAGATCTCTGGTAGTTCGAGGCCAGCCTGGCATACATAACCAGTTTGAGGCCAGCCTGGCCGTACAAGTCACCTGAGGGTCTCTCTCTCTCTCTCTCTCTCTCTCTCTCCCTGCCTCCCTCCCTCCCTTCCCCCCCCCCTTTCCTCGAACCCAGAGATCCACCTGCATCTACCTCTGAGACTACAGGCATGCGCTGCTACCACCCTCCAGTGAGACTATGTCTGTAAAAAATAATGTGATTGCCCACATCTTTAATCCCAGCACTCGGGAGGCAAAGGCAGGCAGATCTCAGTGAGTTCGAGAACAGCCTGGTCTGCAAAGTGAGCTCCAGGACAGTCAGGACTGTTACACAGAGAAACCCTGTCTCGAAACAAACAAACAAACAAACAAATCTGTATTTGGAATCTATTGTCGCCATTGTTTAGGCTGCTTCTGATACCCATTTGGCATACCTAAGAAAGTCACTGTATGCTTGGTGTGAGTGATACAATTCTGCCGAGAGGGACCTTGGCAGCTGGTGGCTCTAAATCGTGGCAGGTGAGAACCCACGGCGGTGAGGGACAGACATGCCAGGTAGACAGCACTTAAGTGGAGAGTTTTATTGAGATAAAGGGACTGGGGGAAGGGAAGGGAGAGAGAAAGAGAGAGGGAGAGGAAGAGAGATGTAGAGAGAGAAAGGCGAAGAGGAGGAAGTGGGAGAGGCAGGCAGAGTTCCGCCTTTTAAAGGGACAGGGTACGGGCCTTCTAACAAGCAGGTGTGAGGCACCCTATAAGGTCCTCAGCGGGTGTGGCCATGTTCGCCCGGATGCTAAGAGTGAGTTATCACAAGGCTTCTTCCTATTCCTGCCCCAGGCTTTTCATATAGCTAGACACATAACATGGCATTCTTTCTTTTTCTTTTTTTCTTTTTTGGTTTTTCGAGACAGGGCTTCTCTGTGTAGTCCTGACTGTCCTGGAACTAGCTCTTGTACACCAGGCTGGCCTCAGAGAGGTCCGCCTGCCTCTGCTCCTGAGTGCTGGGATTCAAGGCGTGCGCCACCATCGCCCAGTAACGTGGCACTCTTTTTTTTCCGAGACAGAGTAACGTGGCGTTCTTATTCACAACTACTTAGCTTTTATTTTCCTATGTGTTTCTAGTTTTTCTTTTCTTTTTATTATTATTTTGTGTAGGGTGTTTTGCCCACGCGTTTGTTTTTGTACCACACATGTGTAATACCCTCGGAGGCCAGAAGAAGGCATCAGATCCCTGTGGGCCTGGAGTTCCAGAGGTTGTGAGTGGCCAGGTGGGTGCTGGAAATGGAACCCAGGTTCTCTGGAAGAGCAACCAGAGCTCGTGATTGCTGAGCCATCTCTCCAACCCCAGCTTTTCTCTTTATTTCTTTTTTCTTTTCTTTTCTTTCTTTCTTTTTCTTTCTCGCTCTCTCTATTTTTTTATGTTGTTAGATTTCTTTGACTATTTATAGAATCTCATTTTCCAATCCTTTTGTTGCCTTGAAATTTGCCAGTTCTTTTTTGACAGATGTTTAGATTCTCTAATGTTTAGATTTACATACAGCAATGACACCAATATTCACTGTAATTGCCTATAACAACAAGAATCCAAGATAAGTTTGTGAAGTCCCAGAAGTAGGCAGATTTATAATAAATATATATATTTTTTGGTTTCTTTGCTTTGTTTTTGAGACAGAGTCTCACTGTACAGCCCTGGCTGGCCTGGAACTCAACATGTAGATCAGTCTGACCTCAAACTCACAGAGGTCTGTGTATCTCTGCCTAAGGAGTGCTGCACTATCATAACGGTTTTTTTTAAAAAAAAAAAATCAGTGGCACACGGCTTTAATCCCAGCACTCTGGAGGCAGAGACAGAAGGATTTTTGTGAGTTCAAGAGCAGTCTGGTGGTATACAGAACTAGTTCCAGGACAGTCTCCAAAGCTACAGAGAAACCTTGTCTCAACCCCCCCCCCAAAAAAAAAATTCAGTAGGAATTGTGATTGTTATACATTATCATAGATACATTATATTTGGTTGGATTGAAAGTTCTTTGCCTGAGCACATTAGAGCTGACCATGCTCACTCTGTGTGTGTGTGTGCGCGCGCACACAGGAGAGCT